AAAATTTGATATTTGAAAAATTAAAAATAATTTTTAACACTTTATAACTTTGGTTCCAACTCAAGAGAGGAGAGAAAGCGATTGATACCTTTCTGGGTTTACTTCCAAGAAACCTTCTTCCTTCAACTCTACCTCTCAATCAAATGGAAGGAAGTGAATTGTGAAGGAGATAAGGGAGACACAATGAGTAGGAGAGAGGTGGCACTTTCAAGGTCAAGAGTTGAGAAGATTCCAGGATTCTAGAAAGAAATTAAAGGTCAAAAAAATTTGAATGTATGTGAGTCTGGAGCAAGCCCCCTGATAGCACCCTGGAGAATGTGCCATCTGTCACAAATGACAGCTTTCTTGGTGTGTCAAGGCAGGCAGGTCTTGAATCTCAGAATGCTGGAACTGTTCCCAGGATCTTAGGTTTGATAAGGAAGTAGCAGAGTTACCAGACTCAGGGGTACTACAGAGACTAAGAGTCAATGGAAAGACTTTAAAGAAGATGTTAACGAAAGATATTTCTATCAGACTGCATTTCATGGACCAAGTCTCATGCATATTATGTAAGCTTTAATACAGCATATTATACTTCATATGATTCTATTGCAATGGTTTAATTTGCAAAGGTCTTTTCCAGCTCAAATGCTTCTAAATTCATTAAGGAAATCTTATGATGAATGTTGATAGCACCAGGGAAAGTAGGAAAAGGATGCATCTGGGACATAGCAAAGTGGGTTTATAAAATTAATCGGGACTAAAACACCATAAAAACCATGACACCAGAAACAACTGCTTGAAAGTTTCCTCCCTCTAATTAACGTGATTTTTCATCTCTGCACTTTAGAATACATTTAAGAGTATGCCCAATTTAAGACATTTCTCGTGTTGTATGTGAGTGGACAGCCATTTTCCTGAGTGGACAGTGGGGCTTGGGGACAATTGGACTGGTTCATCACATCGAGGAATCAATCTTGGTCCTTGGGCTTACTGAGTGCTGGGCACAGCAGGCCCCAGGCTCTGTGGGTCCAGACAGGTGGCGTGGGCCCTGTGGCATGGGGATGCGAGAAGGTTTCTGGTCTGCAGGTCCTCAAGGGCTCAGAGCTGGAGATGCATGTCTCTGGTGCAATGGGTGGCCCTACAAGACCAAGACAGGGGCTGCTCTAGTGAAGAGATAGATAAGGCTGGACCTACGGGCCCAGGAAGCCCATTGGCTGTCCAGGCAGTGTTCCCGGGGTGAGGGTGGGGATACTTGCTGCCCAGGAAGCTGAAGGAAGAGGAGTAGGAACTGGAGAACAGTGGGAAGAGTCTGGAGCTGCAGGATCTGGGGCTCTGTAGGGTCAGTGTCAAGGTCAGGGCCAGGGCTAGGGGGACTTCCACCAGCAGCAGCCTTGAGGGCATGGACATTGGCCAGGAACTCTTCTTCTAGGCACTGAATCGATAGAGATATTTGTGTACAATAGATCCAACTTGGAAAATTGCTTTTGAAAAGAAATAACTTATTTATTTATTTATTTTAACCTTTTGGCAAGAACTCTGTGTTCTTGTGGTATCTGGGTCAAGGTCGGAGGACAAGACCTAGAGAGACCAGTGGATTCTGCACTATCTGTAAAATCGATGTGATTTTTCCAGTAGGATCAATCTGGCACAAGATTTATGGTCTTCAATTTCTCCCATTCTACAACTGTTTCCTCTCCCTCATTTACATAACCTCCATGAAAGGGTCTGCTTCACATTCTCTTAATCTTCACACAAACTCTCTAAGAATCTCTGCTTTCCAATTTTTAGTAGAAAGAATGACCTCTAATATAATTTTCAGGTGTTGCTCTGGGTTGGGGTGAGGGTTTGAGATACAGTTCTGTAATTTCTTAAGTATTTGGCTTAAGCCCTGTTACCTAATCTTTTTACATGTCAAAAGGGAATAATTGGAATATCTAGAACTAAGTGAAGCAATACTTGTTAAGTCTGATGTAGTATAAAAGTTAGTAATTGAGAACTGAATACAAAAGATAATTAATGGGTTTTAGTAGGATTTCTGAAATCAAACCAGTCACATCTATATTTCCCAACTTTTTCCACCCCATTACTTTAAAAATATATTTCTCATGCTTGAGGATTCTGCTTTTGAGATAGTAATAATCAATTCGATTTCTATGTAAATATAAGCATATAGTCACAAATTTCTGTTTAGCAAGAGACAAACTGAGTCAAGACAGAATGATAGAATGATTATTATCCCCAAACTTGGCTCTCATTGTT